AAAAGACCTTGAGATGTACAGCTGCCTTGAGCATATAAGCTGCTGGATCAGTGTAGAGTCGCAGTACTCGGTCGTCGTGGAATCGGGAGGGGTACAGTATCCTCAAGGCTGAGTTCACAAAGTAGATGCTATCACCACTTTTTTTTACTAGTTGTTTTGAGCACACCAAGAAAGGTGTTGTTTTCTCTTTTCCATCGAGCTTTCCAGCAACAAAATGTCCAAGTAATCTTCCGGTCGCATCTGTTGTCTCGTCCACTGAAATCTGTATGTGTGACTCACCCAATTCTCGTCTCATTTTTGCTAACGTTTTCTCGTACATTAGACACAGGTACTGCTTGCGAAGAGTGGACTCTGATGGTATATTTTGTTTGCAGTACTTTTGCTAAAAATTCTTGAATGTCTTGTTTTCGATCTTGACCCAAGGTACGTTAGCAGCGACCAATGCTTCGCATAAGGCAAGTTGGACATATAAAAACCTGTGCCCCTGCTTCAAACATGCTCTTTTGCCACTCTAGCCGTGAAACGCGTCATCATACAGCCACTCGCGGAATTGCTTATCTATGAGTCTTTCCATGTCTCAGAACATTCATGGACGCTCGCGGTGATACGACGGATGGCTCCAAGCATGTCTAAATCGCATCACTAGAGTTCATTGACAGCACTCCATACAGCCGTGAAAGTGCGCGGCCGCGTGGACAGTGCAGTCAGCGCGTGATTCACTAGGAGGCGGCGTTCAGCGACGATTTGCGAAATGTGAAGCTACGATGAGAAAATATCGACACGCACTGCACTTCATATAGCGTTTATTCAGACAGCGATGCGCGAAACTCCTAGCGGCTGTTCCGAGCAATCCTTGGCAGTTTAAGGGTGGGGAGACGAGTTTGACTGTGTGGTCCGCTTCCGATGCGTAAAATGCCTGTACACGGTTCTGAGGAGCAAGTGAGTGATGTGCTTTGTTGCTTGCGAAGAAGCATGTCACCACGAGTGCACTAGGGCATCGTTCTTGCCTGTAGTCTCGCCATAAGCGAAGTTAGGTCCAAAGACGACTCCAATAACGTGCCGCACTCGTAGACTGTGCGCCCACTCAGAGTAATATAATCGTACGTCCGGCGCACCTGCTCGTAGTAATCTGATCATGCATCTGCTTACAGCTTCATTGCTTGTGAAGAAGCACGTTCGCCACGAGTAGCGCTAGCACATCGTTCATGCCCGCAGTTTCGCTGTCAGCGAAGTTCGGGCTAAAGACGACTCCGATGATGCACCACGCTTTTGTAGACTGTGCAGCCGCTCGTAGTAACCTGATTGCGCATTTGCTTGCGGCTCCCAACTAAAGCGTAATTATATCCTATGTAATCATCAAGCCATGAACAGGTCACGAAGTAGTCATTTTCGAGAGCCATGTCCTCGCGACGCACAAGCAGCAGACGCCGATCTCCCGAAACGAGCATCAGGCCAATGGCGAGGTGAGCTCAGGCAACATGGCGGCCACAGCCAATCAAAGGCCTCAATGACCTTCAAACATTTGCTTTTTGTGCGCTTGTTTCTAAAGGGAGGAGCCAGCTGAGGCAGAAACGTTAGACACTAAACACGGAGAAATGCTCTTTCCGATGAGCCCAAGAAGCCGGCTCCCGGGTGCGCCCTCGCGAAGCTATTATTTTTTTAAAAATCGCCGTTTTCTTTCGATTTCCATGAAAAGTTTCACTACCATTTGCCCGCCGCAGTGGTATAGTGGCTAAGGTACTGGGCTGCTGACCCGCAAATCGCAGGATCGAATCCCGGCTGCGGTGGCTGCATTTCCAATGGAGGCGGAAATGTTGTAGGCTCGTGTGCTCAGATTTGGGTGCACGTTAAAGAACCCCAGGTGGTCTAAATTTCGGGAGCCCTCCACTACGGCGTCTCTCATAATTATATGGTGGTTTCGAGACGTTAAACCCCATATATCAATCAATTTCACTACCTAGGACGGTGAAAGAAATTTTCTAAAGCACTTCTGCGCGGTTCTCAGTGTAGATACTTTGGAATCACATAAAAAGTGCGCTCTTACCCTTCTTAAACATGGAATCAGATAGAAAAAGGGTTCGAGAAACTGAAAACTTAATTTAAAGAAAAGTCGACTTTTCTGCCATTTTTCGCGATCCCAAAGTCGCGTCCCCCCCTTAAAGCCAATATGAGCGAAACAGTTTTCTATGATGCTTCGCCGTGTCGCCGCAACAGCGGTGGCGTTATGCTCTAATGAGAACGAAAAAATAAGCAAGCATAAAATATTACGGAACCAGTGCACATTCCCTTTTTTGAGGAAGATCGTGATACAGTCGAGCCCACATATAACGGCCCCACTTAAAACGAACTTTCACTTAAAACGAAAAATATCCGCGTGACCGTGAAAATATACATTGGTTCAATGCCACAAAATCGCACTTACAACGAACGTCTCGGAGCGCCGCTGATCGGTTACAGCGAACGGAGTAAGAGGTCTGCCGACTTCCCGGGAAACAAACTTCGACCATTGATCAGGCATCAACGAGGTGCCCGTACATTCTTGGTGTTAAACGCCGACCCTGCCTCCGCGCCCCTCTAGTTGCCGCTCTCCTCGACCGCTTTTGTTACGGACCCCTCCGTCCTTTGTCCCCCCCCCCCCGCACTACTCTGAACATTCCGCATCGCCAGACGAGGCCTGTGTTTTCACACTGCCACCGTCCTTTCGAAGACCGGTCGGCCATCTACCCCGTTTTTGATCGCTGGTACTGTCGACATCGCCGGCCTGGAGTGACCAGACCATTTGCCAACATCGTCGTCCACCGACTGTATCCGATGGCCTGCATCTAGTGCACGCGTGTACGCTACCCCACTGACTCTGATAATGTGCGATTCGTTTCGTGTTTAGAACTTGTTCTCGCTCACTTCACACTCAACTCAGCATGCCTTGCGCGCGCATGCAGAAGCGCGAAAACGGCTGTTAATTTGCGTAGAATGAATCGCGAATTATCGAAGTTCGTGAGACCACGCAAACCCGCCAGCGCAACAAAACAATTTTTGACCACGGCCGCCGATTCTTTGAACACCGCCGCCTGCATTGATTCAGGCGGCCATGCACTCTTTCCAAGTTTTTCTACGTGTGATTTTCGCGGACCTTTCAAGCAGGCTACCCAACCTGCCTCCTTCCTGTGTGTTTTGGTTTTCAAGGTGGCCCTCCCGCCACATCCTCCTCTCTCTTTATCGCAACTCCTTGCCCTTCCCTCGCCAGTCTGCTCTCCTCTCTTGATCACAACCCCTTCGCCCGTCTCCACAGCTCCGCGACGCCCGCTACGCTGGCCCGAATTAGTTTCGTTTTCTGACTGGAAACGGGCCTAGAGCTGTTCCACGCGTTCTGGCATGCGTGTCGCGTGTGCGCGTCTTGCTCGCTCTTGGTGTGCATGTGTGGTCATGATGGCCGACGGGAGGACTAGCACGCTTTTTCCTGCCGCTCAACAAAACGTCGAAAGTGTGACCGCTTGGCTTGAGCATAATCCGCGCGTTCGGTGCCGCGTTGTGGAGCGCTTGCTCATAGCTGTTGACCACCTGGCAGCCAACTTGCCACTTCAGGCGTCCCGGTATGCAGCTGCGGAGATGGCGAACATTTCGCAGGCGGCGGTGACAGCTACATACACGCGGAACTGTTTTTTGGAGGCCGACTTCGTCGATGTCGGGACCCGGTGTGAGTTTGAAGCTTCGAACAGGACCAATGGGCGACGATTTGTAGCAGCGCGTCATCGACTCCGAGCTGGGACATCTGTTGCGATGGTTTAAATACGGCCGATGATGATGCCGACACTGCGGAACCGTGCACAGGTTAGGGCATTGTGAATGAAATATGTGGCGAGAGCGATTTGGAGGAATCGGATTGCGAGAACGACGAAACTTTGGAGTCAGTGCCTCATGCAGCTTATGCCACGGGCCTCGGTGAATGAGCGCCCTGCCGTTTTAAGTGAACTCGGGACCGCCTTTATCGCTTCTGCTATTCGAAACACGTGCATCACGGATTTTTTGGGGAAAAAAAAGTTTAAGTTTTCACTCGCAACTTGTCATCTCGCAACTTTGTTCACTCGCAACTTTTTTTAAAAGCTTGTGTTTCATTTAATACGAACTTCGGGATACAGCGAACGGATGCTGCGTCACGCTCAGGTTCGTTAGAAGCGGGCTCGACTGTATATTATAATGTAGGCAGCTCGACTGCTGAAAGACGAATTCTTAAGCTTGCGCATCCTTCTTTCCCACTGCAAAGCATCGAGGTTAAATACAGATTCCTCACGTTAGTCCGCATGCGCTGTGCCAACGTGGTCATTGCTTTCGTCACCCTTTCCTAATCACAAAAAATCTTAACGGTCCTCAGCTAAGCTCACGTGTATGCTTGGTCGCCGCACTGTGCCTGGTGTTCGAGCATCAGTGAAGCATGCACAAGTAATCATCGGCAAATCCATCCCACAGGTCACTCGCGTCACATTTTTCACTCTGTCGTAGAATTCCTTTGGTGCTGCTTCTGGAGCACATCTTGAACGTTAAGCCACTAACTAATAGGCTATGAAACAGCCGTGTAAAAAGCGCGCAGGTAAAGCTGGCCAAAAAAAAAACAGGCAACGGATGAGATGCAAAAAACAAGTACCAGGCAATAATGATAGCGATGGCGATAGGGCTATCGCAAATTCAAATAGGGCGGGCACATAGAGAAATGTGCAAGTCTTCTGATGATGATGATAGTGGCCAGCCCTGAGTAACTTTTTAAAATCGCTATTCATTATTTTGAAGAGTTGTGAAGATATAAGCGGCATAATTTGATATGTTTTTCTGAAACATTCAGTATTTTGAAATTCATAACAGTAAAATATTTGTACCTACATTAAACCAATGAACATTTGGAGAGGGGTTTTCGAAAAAGTCGTCATTTTGAGGTTTTCTAATACAACATTTGACTGTACTAAAGGCAGCGGCGTTTTTCACTATGGCCTGCTTCTGTGAGCGCCTACCTCGCTTGATGAGGTCCCTTCCCTCGTTGACCAGGTCGCCTGTGAGCTCATCGTCCGTGAGGAACTGCTCAAAGCCAAGGCAGTGGAGCAGTCGGCTGCCCAGGTGCCACCAGGTTGCCAGGCAGAGCACGCAGATAAGCGTCGGAAAGTACAGGTTGAAGCCCCGTGCCACTATCGGGATGAGGTCCAGGTGACCCATAATCTGCAATGCATCATCCACATGCTGTCATACTAGCACTTCCCTTAAGCTAATATTTCTATACCATCAAGCCCAGTTATGACAACAAAATAATGAATATCTACGATTTTCATACCTCTGGCAGCTCCCTGGCAGCCATAGCTAGCCAGAGGGTCGCCAGCTAGTTCCGATTGGGACAGCAAACAGTGTTGAAGTGACGTGTATGAGGATCCCGAGGCAACTTAAAGCTGCCAGAAGATTGCAAAATCAAACGCTGGGACAGCCAGTGTAAACGCAAACAAACACTACCGTTGTGGAAGCAAACGAAACATTGCACTACGTGTGCATTAATTTTTCTTTTTTGCATTGTTGGCTTGAAAATGCGTAACTACGTTTTCTGTAGAGCTGAAATAATATCCTCAAGCATATGCATTTGGGACAAGATCTTCTATGCTCGCAACATCACGCGCTGCTCGCCCCATTTTTGAACAAAACAGTGAGAATGATGCAAGGTGAGCTGCTGCGCCTGTAACAACTTAGCAAGCTCACGTCTGCTCAGTACATGTAATAGTCATTGCACAACAAGTGCCGAATCTCGCGAAAGTGATTACGCCCGAAAAAGAGTTCAAGAATACAGTTGCACATGGCTATAACGAACCCACATAAATAGCATTTTTGGGTATATCGAACTCGTAAGTTATTCTTTTGATATTTCTTTGTAGAAGTATAGAAATTAGCACGTTTATATCGAATGCCGCGCAAGCTGGAAGGTGCGCTTCAGCAATCACCCCCCCCCCCTACCTCCCGTGCTCCACGGTAGCAGGGCTCCGCGCGCGAGTTGGAAAGCGTGCTTTGGCACTCGCAGCGCCCGGCGACCTTCACGCGGCACCACGCCTCCACCAAAACCCGAAGCGCTCGAAAAATGGTAAGGGCGAGAGGACTCGGACTGCACAATCTCCAACTTGCCGAACGGCTTTTTTTTTTCTTTCGTTTGTCTTCTCTTTCTCATGCTTTCTCAGAGAAGAAACGAAGGAGCCAACATCCTCCTCCTTTTGCCTTTTCTATCGTTTCTTTTTTTTGTTGCCATTTTGCAAGTTTTGATCAGCCATCCACAGCTCACGCCTTTTTGCTGTTGCCCTTAAAAATACAATGTGGGCTTCGACAGAGATGTCCTTGTCACCTTTGTTATTTATGCTGTATCTACAGGGACTAGAAGCCAAATTAGAGGTGAGTTGACTTGGCCTCTTTTTTGCCAAGCAAGAGAAACACGTTGAACGGTCATTGCCAGCCTAAGATGTATGCAGATTATATAGTATTTATAGCTGACAACGAGGAAGATTTACAGGGATTGATAGACATCTGCGGTAATGAAGAGATAAGTCAAATTTGAAGTTCAGTAGAGAAAAATCAGGAATCATGATATTTAGTGATAACAAAGGCAGTGAGCATAAGATACAGGAAGTCACGCTAGAAATAGTGGATAAATAGAAATATTTGGACGTATCAATAAAGAACGAGGCTGAGTACTATGGGAATTGAGGCTAGCCCGCTGCCTTTGTGCAAGCTTTGCCGCCTTTTCTGCCGTTCTCATGTCCCGACGTGACTCCCCTCCTCCGCTGTCTGCCACGCTGGGAGAGCAAGGAATGACGTTTAACTCCTCTCACACGGTAGCAGATGTCGACTGTAAGGCCGTGTGCGAAGTCTCCCGAGAGGCTATTGCGCGCGTGCCTCGGGAGCAAGTCAGATTCTTCATCACAGCTTGCGGTGAGCACCCATTTCCTTTTCCGGGCTCGTCGGACTTCACTGACTGTGCCTCGCACCAGAGGTGAATTCTCACCTTTTGTTGCCCCTTTGCATACGCTCGGCCGAAGGGTGGTATGATGTCCTAGTGCGTGGTCAAGCTATGCCAACTCGTATCTCTTCGAAGCCAACATGAGCGCCTTTGCCCTCGCTCGAGCAACCAGGCCTTGGTGGTGTCACTGTGAACCACTTTTACCACGGAGACGTGCTCGTGGCACCCTGTGTAGTATTTGTTGCCCGTGGCATGGATAAGCCCATTTGCTTTCCTGCCGCGCCTTTGCAACGAGCTGTACTGCGTTTTGGTGTTGCCACAGACAATAAAGTGTTGCGACTTTAAGGAGTATCGTGTTCTCGCCACGGCGTCGGTTAACGCGTGCCCTGCGGCTCGCTAAGACCGGACCTACGCTAGTGGCCGTACTCCTTCGGGACACGTGTCACTACAGTACATAAGAGAGTACGAAAAATACGAAATGACTAAGGGTAACAGGAATGCAGCTGTAATGAAAAATAGGGGACTGTGGAACTACAATAGGTACGACGTTGTGAGAGGGATTTGGAATGGTGTCATGGTCCCGGGTTTGACGTTCCGCAGTTCGGTCTTGTGCATGAGATCAGAGGTTAAGATTGGAAATTAAACAACGTAGCACAGGTAGACTTGCTTTGGGAGCACATGAGAATACCCCAAAACAGGGGGTACAGGGTGGCATGAAATGGACATTGTTCGAATGCAGGGAAGCTAGTAGCAAGATAGAAATTGAGGAACGATAGAGAAATATAGGAGAGGAGTGTTGGGCTAGGAAAGTTTTCAGCTACTTGTACATGAAGAATGATGATACTGAATGGATGAAGCGAATTCGAAAATTGTCAAGCAAGTATTTAAACAACAGCATAATACAAAGCCAAAAGGAAACATAGGTTAAGAAGAAGGTGAAGGAAACATAGAGGGACATGTGGAAGATTGGAGTGCTTACAAAATCCTCACTGGAGACCTACCGAACTTTCAAGCAGGAAATTGTAAAAGATCTACGATAGTTCTCGGGGTAGTTCTCTGCGCTTCGCGGCCAGAACGGGAGTATTGCAGACTAAGACGTACCCAGCTAAATACCAAGGCACAGACATGTTATGTAGTGCATGTGGAGAGGAGGAGGAAACGACAGAACATTTCATAATGTTCTATAATGGGCTCCACTCTATAGTCCAAGATAACGGCACGGAATTTTTCAAAGCATTGGGGTTCAGGGACAGTGAAGGCAAAATTGACTTTAAACGGGTAGAAAGAACCAGGAGAAGGCTGACTGATTGGTGGTTACAATAAAGGCGCAGGTGAGACTCAATCCTTCAACACATAGTGATAGTACAAAACTTTATGGCTAGGCTGCATGAGCCGTCGCCCGATTTAATGAGCACAGCCGGATACATTAATCCATCCATCCATCCATCCATCCATCCATCCATCCAACCAGGTAAAGCCCTGGGTCTAGGAAAACAACAACATTCTCTTCTGCGTGCACATTTACTCCTCGATTCTCGCCCACCTTTGGCGTCACTGCACTTGGCGCCATTTTTTGCCAGGGCTTCCACGAATGAGCCGCCGAATTCAAAGGAGGCGTGTTATTTTGGGCCACTTGAGCGCTACGGTGCTCAAGAAGCCCGAAGAACATTTTGGTGGATGGCCCGATGCTTATCGCCGAGGCCTAATGGTTTGCCGCTGCACTTGCTGAAACATTTTTGCCGACAACAGCGGGTGACTTCCCCGATTTAAGCACTGCTACGTCGTTGGCAAAACCAATTCTGGCGAAAGCGAAGCTGTCAGTGGCCAGGACATTCAGCAGAGGATGATGAAAGAATGGCCAGAAATCTCCGCAAAGTTTTTTCCTGCAGAGATCCTAAAAGCCTGGCAAGACGTGAAGATGGACACAGTGGTCAACTGCTTCCACAAAGCAGGCTTCGAGATGGCGAAGTTGCGAAAACCGGTGAAGACGACGACAATGAGTGCATAGACATGTTTTGCGAATTGTCATCCCACTTCCTGGCAGCAGTTTCACAAGAATTGCGTGTGGACGACTTCGTGGAAGTGGACAGCAATGCCCAGGCCGACAGCTCATGTGATGAGAATCGTCCTTACGAGGTGCTGGCTAAATGCGCGTACTCTGTTGCTGAAGTGGCGGCAGTGCTTGGCGTCATTCGCCTGTTGTATCAGCCACATGAAGGGCACCAAGCTGTGGCACCTGGACAGCCTTGATAAGATTGAGACTAGCGTTTTCAACATTTCAAAAACGAAAAAGCAGCCCAAGGTAGATTTTTTTCACGGAAATGAATTCAATCTATTGCAACATGTGTGCAGAATCTGTTGTCATTCTTCAATGCACCTATTATAAGTGATGATCCGCTACAGGTAAGCTCTCGGGGCCTCTATTTCTTTATATCGAATTTTTCATATATGGAAATACAGTCAACTCTTGTTCATTCAAACTTGAAGGGACCTCTGAATTTTGTTTGAATTATCAAGAAGTTTGATTAATAAGAAGTTCTCAGATGTATGACTATGGGTGAGGTGACACCACACATTATGATTAGACATTGGTTCTATCAGATTTAAAAATTTTTAAAGCGTTTTGTACCCTAACTGCACGCAGTGAACAGAAAGCACAAGTGAAAGTAAATGGCCAAGTATATTGGCTATTTACTGCTGATCAGACTTTTTAAAGCAATCGTGTGTTGCCAACAGCTTTTTTGCTATATGTGCCTTTAGCACAAAGCTCTCTATACCAGTTGAGAAGCGTCACGGTTTATCCTGCATGTGCTTAGTTTCAAACATTTGTTTACTAGCAAAGCCCTTTCCTTTGAAGGCCTCAGGTGCATATTTCAGTGATCCCACCGAGCTCTTCTGACTTGAAGCAATTTTTGGAGCAGCGAAATTTTCACTTCGGTGCACTTTGGAGCAGCAAAGGTTTCTATTTTGGAGCAATCTGGAGCAGCTAACTTCACATCCTGGAGAAAAAATAAGTTTATTTACATTCAGGGGCGTGAAAAATTATTTTGGTGCTTTTGTCTCCTCTGAAGAGCTAGATATATTTCCATTCATTTCAAATCTCATAAAGCCAGTCATCTTAGGAGCACTCAATATTTTTGTTGATGATGCAAACATAATGGCATCATTATATTGTACATTCTGAAAAAACTTATATAGTGATTTTCATAAAAAATAAACATAATACTGGTTG